TGTGTGTGTGTGTGTGTGTGTGTGTGTGTGTCAGTTTGCTGCAGATGCACAGGATAAGCAGTGGTTGGCGGAGCGACATCACATGAGAGCGACAGGAGGAAAGATGGTGAGAAAGTGAAACGTTAAATCTTCAGGTCAGAGTCGGTTCAGGATAAGTTTTATTAAAGTGGCAATGCTAGCCGGCATAGCGACTTGATGGTGCGTCAGAGGGTCCATGAACGCACCTCGTAGATAGATATCAGAGACATTTAGGCTAAAAACTTTGTGTAAATGACGTCGTTTACTTCAGTTGTTTTGGATTCTGCTCTAACGCTGTTCAACTCTCAGACTCCAGAAGTTTTTGGTGGACTCAAACGTTCACCCCCCCCCCTCCATCATAGTGCTGAGGAGATAATGAGAGAAGTTACATTTTTCGGTGAACTATCCATGAGTGAGAGGTTCACTCTTTTAATAAAGATGGAGGACACAACAGGTCCCAAATTATCTTGATTGCCCCCTGGTGTCTGGCTGCAGTATAGGTCATTAACCCCTCCTCTATGTTAGCAGATGGGACATGAACCAAACTAAAACTCAAAGTAGACGTTAAATAAATGTTTGTAAAGATGTTTCTGTCGTTTCAGCTCGTTCTCATCTCTCTGATGTTTGTTCAAGTGTTTCTGATCAGTTTGGTTTAAACAGTTATTGATAATATCAAAACAAACGTGATGATTGACAGCTGACACTGACTCAGGATTGATTGAGCATATGGGCAGGACCTGGAAACCATGACTCCTCCCCTTGTAGAGGTAGATGATGTTATTTTACACAGCTCACATTGAGACCGGCGGAGGATTTCCTGCTGTCCTCACATCGGCTCATTCGGACATGATGTAGAGATTTTACTTGGAGGCTGACATGAAACTCTTGACAAAGTCTGATGCCTCTGACTTGAACATTTGCGTTCTCACATACAGCCTCTCTGGAGAATACCAGATCATCCAGTTCAGTGCAGGTCTGAAAGCAGCTTTAGTTTCCAACTGTACCTGAAGGCACCACTGATGTTTGTGCTCCTGTGTTCAGGCCTACCTGCTGATTGAAGAAGACATCCAGGATCTGTCCCGCAGCGACGAGTACAAGTGAGTCTGACAGTCATCTGTCTCCATGGTAACCAGCTCTACAGGTATGCCCCCACCCCTGTTGTTACCATGGTAACTGTGTGCGTGTGTGTGCAGGGACTGTCCTGATGTCAGGATGGACGAGATGAAGCCGTTCTCGGTTCCTTCGTGGATGATTGACAAGATGAAGAGAGCCATGGAGGCGCAGCGAGACGCTGACCTCTGACCTCCTCCCCATCAGAGAGCAATCATGTGATTCACACACTCTGACCTGATTGGCTCCTTCTATATTTTCATTTATACTGTTTTCTAACAAAAATTATTAAAACCGTTTGTGACCAGAAGGTGTGTTTTTCATTAGTTCATGACCAGGTGGGATGCTGTTTTTAAAACAACATCTGATTCCTGAAGAATCTCACTCACAAGGTTGTGACATCACAGACTTTATTAAAAAAAATTAACAGAAGCAGATAGTGGCATTGTGAGGGGGTGTGGTCACTCAATCCCTTCCTGTTTATCTTTGATAGCGACTCTGAAGCGTTCCTCCAGAAGAGACAGCTCGCTGATCAGATCTGTGATGGCGTTTGTAAACGCTTCCTGTCAAAACAACAAAAATCATTTCCTGTTAAAAAAACATCTTGTCTTATCAAAATATGTGTGTGACCCGTGGACTGTAGTCAAGTGTGTGTGTGTGTGTGTGTGTGTGTGTGTGTTACCTGTGGACTGTAGTCAGGTGTGGTCTGGACTCTGATGACGATCTTATGTTCTAGAGGATGAGGAACCTTATAACCAGCGAACAGAACCTGAGGATCCTTCAACAGCTGACTGACAAACAAACAAGAGCAGGTTCAGAACTCTGCATCAAATGTATAAAAACAGCTTCACTTCAAATCTAATGTTTTATTCTTCAACTAGCTTTAGAGCACTTCCTGTCAGGACTCAACTAGAACCTGAAAACTAGTAGAGTCCTCTCTTTTGAGGCTGTAACCTCTGTGCGTAGCATCCTGCTAGCTTAGACTGTAGCATCTTGTAGCATTTGTGTAGCCTCGGAATCATTTTGACTGTAGCATCGTGTGTAGCCTCTGATTAGCTGTGACTGTAGCATGTGTTAGCATCACGTATAGCCTCTGATTAGCTGTGACTGTAGCATGTGTTAGCATCACGTATGGCCCCTGATTAGCTGTGACTGTAGCATGTGTTAGCATCACGTATAGCCTCT